CATACCTTGGCTTTTGGTTTTGATAAAAGTCTTTGGTAATGCACTAGGCGTTTGCACCCTCCTGTCTGGTTTTAAAACTCTCACCAAGTGCCTGTCACAGCTCCCTTAACCCAGACACACCGGAAGATTACAGAGGTACGGGTGGGGGAGGGCATCAGAGGCAGAAGATTTCTGCTAAACCAAAAGACAGCAAGTAAGTACAGACAGGGGTAAATAATATCTCTTGTGCTAAATTTGTATTTTTTTTTTACTATTTAAGTAAACTTTGGTTTAAAAGAGGAACTAAAGCCACTATACTTGTCTCTTCTCCAGAAGTCCAAAATCCTAAAGGGGTCCCTCACCTGTGCCAGCATCTTTTTCCTGAATCCTTCCAGATGCTGTTCTTCCTCCAACTTCATTGGCTGGCACTCTATTGATCAACTTCTCATGAATGGAGCTGCTGGAAAATTTCAGTTCAATCAGCACTGCACTGCAGCCAACAGGCTGGGGCGCTGATCAGTGTCTTCTGACAGCAGGGAGGTGTGGGAGTCTCCCTGCTGTCAGAATACAAATGCCCTACTGCTTACGATCCAGAGTGATAGCTTCTTGGTGGGATAGCTATCTGTACATGCCTGAGCTCATTCCTACTGCTTAGCAGCATGTAAAACACACACAGGTAGGGAGAGCAGGGTCAGTGAGAAGCAAGGAGGTCCTTCAGCTGTCCTGAAAGGTGCTTGTCTCTTTTGGGCACTAAAAGCCACCTAATGTGAGCTCTGAATAGCAGCAGAGACAGAAGCTGACAGCAGCAAATTGAAAGGTATGGGCAGTTTGTAGTCCCTGGGGCAGAGATGAAGAGCATGCTGGTTGGGTGTCAAGCACTAGGAAGGTCTATGTTTCACACTGTGTTCCCAGGACATAGCCTGGGACCCAGTCAATGCAGGACAACAGAATAAAAAGTATGCTTGTACTTTCCCTTAAATGGGAGTAAAGTCTTGTTTTCACTGCAAACTTCAAGCAGGCAGGCTTTTTATTTCAGAAGAGATGCAATTTCTCTTCTTCAGTAAAATAAATCTACCTGTCTGCTTGCGGTCTTCTTTGGAATGTATACTGTGCTGTGCATGTGCAGCTAAGTTTATATTCCAGCGCACCACCTGTGTGCCGGGATGACTGCAGTCCTGTACATTCCCAGGAAGAAGTCATCCCATACTAGTCAATAAAGATGGCCGAAGCCCAACACCTGGAAAAGCCAGGTAGAAGATACTGTGCCAGTGAGGGATGTTAAATAAAGATGGCCGAAGCCCAACACCTGGAAGAAGCCAGGCAGAAGATACTGTGCCAGTGAGGGATGTTAAATAAAGATGGCCGAAGCCCAACACCTGGAAGAAGCCAGGCAGGCAGAAGATACTGTGCCAGTGAAGGATGTTAAATAAAGATGGCCGAAGCCCAACACCTGGAAGAAGCCAGGTAGAAGATACTGTGCCAGTGAGGGATGTTAAATAAAGATGGCCGAAGCCCAACACCTGGAAGAAGCCAGGTAGAAGATACTGTGCCAGTGAGGGATGTTAAATAAAGATGGCCGAAGCCCAACACCTGGAAGAAGCCAGGTAGAAGATACTGTGCCAGTGAGGGATGTTAAACTGTTCATTGATAAGGATGCATTGCTTAGTATAGCTCTGCTTTAAAATGGAACTTACACATAACAACTTGATAAAAAAAATAATGTTCTTTAGCAAGGATCCATATTATGAATTATGCCACCAAAATTAGTGTGAGCTATAAATTGCCTCCAGCATTGTTCCTGCTTCTTCTTGATGGAGATTGCTATTTTGATGAAGCCCCGAGTCCCTGAGCAGCAGTAAATATTTAGGCTGTCGTCTCTACAGTTTTGGTATAGTGCTGAAGAATAGAGAGCAACTGAGCATGTGCAGAGCAGAGTGAGATTACTGGATTTTAGAAGGACTTAATTTTCTGACTAAAGGTCCACTTTAACCACTTGCTAACCGCGCTATAGCCAAATGACAACTACAGTGCGGTTGTCCAGTTCTGGGAGGGCATCATATGACACCCTCCCAGAACACATCCTCCTGCACGCCCCCAGCAGTGTGCACCTGGCGATCTCTGAGCTACGGACACAGCTGATCATGTGATGAGGTAAAAGGCCAATCACAGCGCCTTTTTACCACATGATCAGCTGTGTCCAATGACACAGCAGATCACAGAGTAAATACAGTTGCTGGTTATCTGCAGCACTTTCCTCATGCTGTCACAGCGTGAGGAAAGTACTGCCGATAACCAGCAAATGTGACAGATCGGCACTGATGATCACTGCCCTGCAGTGCCACCCAGCAGTGCCTCCCACCAGTGCCACGCAGCGCCACCCATCAGTGCTGTCAGCCATCGCCGCCTGTCAGTATCACCCATCAGTGCCACCTATCAGTGACCATCATTGCTGCATATCAGTGCAGCATCATCAGTGCCACCTCATCACTACAGCCTATCCATGCCACCTCATCAGTGCCCATCAGTGCTGCCTATCAGTGCAGCCTCATCAAACACACATCAGTGAAGGAGGAAAAATACCTGTTTGCAAAATTTTATAATAGAAACAAATAAAAAAAAATTTAACTTTTTTGCTCTTTTTTTGTTTATAGTGCAAAAAATAAAACAAGTGGCGATTAAATACCACCAAAAGAAAGTTCTATTTGTGTGAAAGAAATGATAAAAAATTTCATATAGGTACAGTGTTGCATGACCGCGCAATTGTCATTGGAAGTACGTCAGTGCTGAAAGCTGAAAATTGGCCTAGGTACGAACGGGGTAAAAGTGCCCAGTAAGCAAGTGGTTAAAGAAGAACTCTGGGCAACATTTTTATTTTTCCTATGCAATGGAGCTGAGCCCGCACTGCATGGGTTAACTGCTCATTTTTTGTCTGGGGAATTGCACTTACCTAATCCGCCGACCCTCTGAGCATAAGACAAGTCCCCACTGCTCCTGCCCCCGTGCACACTAGTGGTCTTGTGAATGGACTGTTTCTGACGTCATCACGCCCATAGACCAGCTCTGGACATGAGGAGAGCAGGAACAGTGCACTGCTGGATGTGGGGAAGCACGGTTTTTCTGGAGTATCGAAGGATTGGGTAAATATAGCCTTTCAGTGTGCCCCTTGACAAAACGAGTAGTTACAGCAGAACTGCACCCAAAGGGGTAAGACTGCCTCTCCCCCCCCCCCCCCCCCCACTGCCATATTTGGCAATTTTTGGTTCTGACAGGTACCCCCTCCCACTTCCAGGTCAGATCACCATGGCCATCTGAGCTGGAAGTTCGGCCCCCTCCTAACCCCTGCAGCTTTGTGGGACACTTCACAGGTCCCAGGAGCCTGCAGGACCATTCACAAAGCACATGCACAATAGGAAACCAGCTGTAAAGTCACAAGATTTTACTTCTGCTTTCCCTTACTTAAGATGCCGATGCCTACTCCCAAAGCCGATTAAAGAATCAGCTCAGGTGAAGACATCGCTGGACCCCTGGACAGGTAAGTGCCCTAATATTAAAACACAGCTACAGTATTTTAATTTGTTTGTGGGGGAGCCCGGAGCTCCACTTTAAAGTGTTACTAAACCCACAACAGTAAAATCAATCTGTACAGGCGGTAAAGCATGCTTGTTATACTCACTGTATTGTGTAAAACTCAACTGCATTGTGTAAAAAGGCTGTGTGATCCTGTCTTCTCTGATCCTCCCCTTCTTCCACTGTTCCTGATTCATCTCCTGATAGAACAGAGCTTTGGGGCAAGCTGCACATGCTCAGTTTGGTGTGCATTGCTAGAGAGTTCTTTTTTTCTTGAGAGAGTGCATGTGATCATCACAGGGCCAATCAGAACTGTCCAGACAGAGGTCAGGGGTTCTGCAGTCTCATAGGACAGTGAGAAAAGAATGAAAACTCCTCCTAAAAGCTTTAACCAGTGTTCTGCTGCACAATGATAGATGTCAGAAGACTGATGCTGATGAGAAAAGGTATTTAGCAGTTTATATTTACTAGAATAATTGCATGTCCATGTTCTGTGTACTGTGGGAGAGCAGATATAGTGAATGCATGGTCCTGGGTTTAGTAACACTTTAACTCATGCAGTGCAGGCCCAGCCCCACTGCATGGAAGAATATTTTTTTTCCATGGAGTTCTTCTTTAAGCTGCAAAAGCAGCGGACAGAGTTGTACACATGCCATGGCCGTGATGCAAGTCAGCAAACATTTCCCCATGGTGTTTGGCACTACCACTTACTGAACGGAACCCACTCAACGGACTGGGGCCATGCCACAAACACGCTGCAACTGAGGGCAATACAGGTGTAGGTCTTCAGGGGTTAAAACAAGCAGTGCAGGAGGTGTCACACCACTTGTCAAATGCCTTGTGAACAACAATCCACTGCAAATTGCTCTTCAGAGGGTGCTGCAAGTGAGCAGGGAGCTCAGAGAGTTAGGGAAGCCAGCAGATGAGCATCTTCAGAAGGACAATTGCAGTCTTCCTTGTACATACATTGATATTACAGGCACCACTTGCCAGATGCATTGTATTCAATTCAATGTATACTGGGGGAGTGTATCAGTGTCCAATGTGCCCACCTAGGACTGACCCTGTGTGTGTAACAGTGTACAGAGGACAAGGAGAACACACTACTTACCAGCAGTCCTGCAGCTGTGTACTGTCACTCAGCCCCACGTGTCCCCCCCACACAGGGTGACAACACACAACTACGGAAGCCTGCACGGGCCCACCCACCCCGCTAACCTAGTCCTCCTACACAGGCAGAGCGGCCTTTACCAGCACTGGCCCCACAGGCACACTATCAGTGCTGAATGATTAATACAGAGCCCTGCACTCCTCTAACCATATACAGCGCTGACACCGGCCTCTGAGGGGACAAGTACCGGAGTCACTCAGTCATTTCCGGAGAGCTCTCCCCTCCCTCCACATAGGACGAGATTTCCGGTGCTGTGTGAGAGGTGACCCTGGTGACCGGTGCCATGTCGGTGTGGTTGGCTCGGTTGTGTGTCTCTGTGAGGACGGTGTGCGCTCAGCATGTCGGCTATGGAGGAGCCGTGCGAGGGATCCGGCGGGCACAGCAACCAGGTGACGACTATACACCGCACTATGGAGGGCTTCCCCTCTCCAGACTCACACCCTGCACAGGACTCTGCTCAGAGGGCCTCATGCACCAGGACGTTTAACCACTTCAACTCCAGCCCAGTTCTGGCACTTTTTATTCACATTTTAAAATCGCCATTTTTTTTTTTGCCATAAAATGTCTTGAGACCCCCAAATGGGACCCCCCCCCCCCCAAAAAAAAAAAAAAAAAAAAAAAATATATATATATATATATATATATGAGAACAAGATCTTCAAGTTGCAAAAATTCTCTCTTTAAGTGTATGAACAAACTTTTGCATGAGGATACATTTGAAGTAAAGAGAGAATTTTTGCAACTTGGAGATCTCGTTCTTATATATATTTAGAATTTGTTTTTTTATATAATGATTTTATATATAAATCAAATAAAAAAAAAAATTATGCTAAATACATATATATATATATATGAACAAGAGCTTGTTTGTATGAAGATACACTTGAAGTAAAGAGAGAATTTTTGCAACTTGGAGATCTTGTTCTCATTCGAGATATATATCATATTATTATATATATAGCGCCAACGATTTGCTCAGCGCTTTACATTGTATTGGGAGACAATACAGTAACAATACAGTTCAATACAAGAGGGAGTTGAGGGCCCTGCTCCTTGGAGCTTACAATCTAGGAAAAAAAAAATATATATATATTGCTTTGGGTTTTTTACCCATTTGGGGGTCTCAAGCCATTTTCTAGCAAAAAAAAAAAAAAATGCTGATTTTAAAATGTGAACAAAAAGTGCCAGAACTGGCCTAGAGCTGAATTGGTTAAACATCCTGTGTGCATGAGGCCCAAGTATTTGGAATTCCAACAAAGCAGAGTCTTGTGCAGGGTGTGATCTCATTAATGATGTGCTCCCATAATTCCATCCATATAAAAAATCATTTTGTTTTTTGATGTTTTATATGGATGGAATTATGGGAGCACATCATTAACCTCCTTGGCAGTATGATTCTTTCCGATTTTTTTTTTTTTTTTTTTTTTTTTTTTTTTTTTTTTTGTGCTGAAAGCGGTACCATTTTTTTGCATGGAAATATGTAGTTTTTTATTGTAGGCTGTAATATTTAGGAATAACTCACTGAAATCTGTACGAACAAGAGTCTATTAAACATTCCGGATATGATAAAATTTGAAACACGAAATCATAAATTATAATTTAATAAATAATCATAAAAAATATTATAATAATAAATGTAATTCAATATTATAATCAAACCAAAAACACTGAAATTTGAAATACAGAGGCAAATTCGCACATTGCTGAGCAAAGTCGCAAAATCGTTTTCAGTGTCTGACGAATTTCCCCACAAATCATCATTCAATTCTGCAAGTGGTTCTGATTTACTATCGCTGGTCTAAAACCGCTTTTGACGTAAAGGGACACTTTTTGGACGCCATGGACTTTTCTAAGTTTCCAGGCAGAAAGAACATTCAAAATGCAGGCAGGGCACAGGACAAAGCAGTAGGGACACAAATATATGTGAAATGCATTGAAACAGCAATGACAGCAAAAATGACATTTTTAAAAATTTCAAATTTCCCGCCGGTTCCGGCGCCTGTACATCCCAACGTCACAGGGACCGGAACACAGAAGCTGGATGCCAGCATCGACCGGAGGAGATGGCCGGGGACGCTGCAGGGAACACATCGCGGGAGCGAAGGACAAGGTAAGTGCTGCAGGGACCCCCAGAGCAACACCGCATGGTAAGCCCGAGTGTAGCTCGGGGTTACCGCTCTTGGTATTGAAATTTTACCCCGAGCTGCACTCGGGAATACTGCTAGGGAGGTTAATGAGATCTCCAACAGATAAGATCTGCAACACAACAGGAGTCGCCTGCTCCAATTTTTGATGTGTGTATATATATATGTATATATATATATAAATATATATTTATATTTTTATTTATTTTTACTTTTTTTTACAGCAGAGGTCCTAGACCAGTGTTTCTCAACCTTTTTTCAGTCAAGGCACCCTTTGAAATTATGGATCTCAAGGCACCCCAATCTAAAATGTAAAAACCTATTCTACACACATCCAGTACACCTAACGTCAGGTGCTTTATTCATTCAAAGCGCATACACCTTTGCACACTGGTACTAACTAGTATTCCAGTGTGTCTCTCTCATTTTCTCTCCCTCACTCTGCTAATGTGACCCCAGTGCTGCCAGAGAGGGCCAAACAAGGATGATGTGCATGCAATCGACATCCTCCTTACAACTGATGATGTCATTGGTTGTTAGGATGCTGGCAGCTAGAAGGTCATAAAAGTGAAAACCTGTGGCTTTGTGTACTAAAAGACAGGATTGATCCACCTGCTGGCTTCTATACAATTTTGGGGCATTTTGACAAGGCACACCTGAAGAAGACTGAAGGCACCCTGGTTTCGGAAAGGCTGTCCTAGACAATAGGTGATTTTTTTTTTTTTTTTTTTTTCTTTAAATGTCGTACAGTATTTGCGCATTGGTTTTTAAACAGCAGTTTTTAGGAAAAAATACTTTTTTAAATTTTATTGTAAAAAAAAAACACAATAAATAACCCAATTCTTTATAAAATAAAAAAGATAATGTTACACCAAGTAAATGGATACTAAATATGTCACACATGCCCATGCAATAGCGACAAACAGCGTAAATTTTACTATCCATAGGCAAAACTTGAACCACTTGCCCTCCAGAGGATTGACCCCATTTCCTGACCAGGCCATTTTTTTGCAATATGGCGCTGCGTTACTTTAACTGATAATTGCGCGGTCATAGAATGCTGTACATAAATTACATTTATGTCCTTTTTTGCCACAAATGGAGCTTTCTTTCGGTGGTATTTGATCGCCTGTGTGTTGTTTTTTTTTTTTTTTTTTTTTTCATTCTATAAACAAAAAAAGACTGAAAATTTTGAAAAAAAACAAAACAATATTTTTGACTTTTTGCTATAAAACATAACATTTAAAAATCAAATTTCTTCATAAATTTAGGCCAAAATGTATTCTGCTACGTCGTATTTTTATGGAGAGATCTGGGGTCTATAAGACACCAAATCCCTCCTCTACACTTGAAAGCATTCAAAACACCAAGATTTGTGTTTTTGAATGCTTTCAGATTTTTAAAAATGGCACCAAAAGTTCTTGAGTAAATCGGAAGTCATGCTAGGACAATAAAGGAGAGTTGTTCAAAGCCGATTATGGCTTTGTTCAGCTGTCCGGTTAGCCGAAGGAAACGCTGGCTGGTCGTTCGGGACTCCCAATGGGTGGGACTCCTGCTGTTTGTATAAGCAATTGAGCATAGTAGCCACTCCAATTGCTTGTACAAGCGAGCAGACTGCTGGCTCTAAAAAGTGGTACTGGGGTGATACCTTTAGCTGTGGGCATCACTCCGGTACAACCACGGAAAGTCCAGTGACATCCGGAAATAGTTAAGGTTTCAATCACGCTGGGACTTTTGTAAATACTTTTCTCCTGGCAGGAGAAAAGCCGTTTGAAAAATGCACCTAAGCCACATTTTTGCAAATGCGTATAGGCGTGTCAAGTGCTCGCATATTTTTTTGAACAATGGTTCACACTGTTGCGGACTGCACAGTCCCCGTTTGGTCGGGCATGGAAGCCCATTCATTTGAATGGGCTGCTGTGCCCGCATTTCCACACAAAAAAGGTGCATGCACCTTTCTGAAAACATGGCCACAGGGAAACCACATTGTCTTTTTGACAATGTGGTTTTCCTGCAGTTCCCACAATCACACTGAGAGCTGAGATGCATGGGAGTGCCATTCAGAATGAATGGCAGTACCACACATCTGCTAAGAGCAGCACGATGCGGTTGCAGGAACTGGTGCGCTACCCGCAACCAGAACGCACAGTGTGAACCGAGCCTTATGGCCTGGTTCACACCTGTGCTTTTTTTCAGAAACACACTACATTCCATTTAACATGCTTTCTATGGGACATGTTCATATCTATGCTTTTTTCAGATGCTGCATTTTTGGTTAAATAGATTTCAATGGAGATGCTGCAGAAAAGCATAGTGCGTTTTGGGGTTTTATTGCAGGAAATTACAAGTGTTGTTTTATGTACAGATCTGAACACAGCTACATTGCTTTACATGTGTACGCACATGCACACCTAAGCTATTCGGCCCCATGCACACCATAGAATGGGGGTCCAATCAGTCACAGGTAATCGCAGCATGAGCAATTACATGCAATCTGCTGCAAATAGCTGCCAGAGCTGCCAGCCTCCCATTGCTTTCAATGGTGCTTCCCCCCTGCAGCTAATTGCAGTGAACCCCTCCCTGTGTTACCCACAGCTTAGCACAAATGAGAATAGGGCCTTAGAAGAATTGTACACATTTAAACACAAATACTTTAGTTACGTAGTTTACGCATTATCTTCTACCAGCGGGTACCTGCATTCTGTGCAGAAAATATACATATGCCCCTGTGTGAATGAAGCCTTAGGGTTCATTCACAGGGGTGTGAAAAACATTGCATTTGGCTGCATTCAGCACTAGTCCAGCACTATAATACTCTGGGCCCACTCAGGCCACTGCTTCTGGCAATGTAATGATGTGTTGAATTAAAGGACTTAAAAAAAAAAATAGTAACAGAACTGCACTAGTGCCATCATTCTGATACTTTCAACACATTTCCTGTAAAAAAAAAAAACAAAAAAAAAAACAGCATTCTAGGACAATTGTACACATGTAAAGGCATGCACACATATTGTAATGGCATTAAGATTCTTGGAAACGGAAGTACTTTCAGGCATATTTTACACAGGATATTCTGTTGGCTTGTTCGGATAAGAAGCTGCATTTGTTTTTATGTGCCTGTGTGAATGAACCCTTAGGGCTGCCTGCCTCCTAAAGAATAAAGTTTATGCTTGCACAATAAAAGTATGGGACTGCATGCATGAAAATGTTGAAAGGCCCTGGATGGAGCTGGGTGTCACTGTGGGGGAGATGGGGGTTGCGGAGTGCATTAGGGGACTCTGCAGCAGTCTTGGTGGCCCTGTAGCTGATGAGGTTTCTGAAAGAGCATTGTAGGAGCATAAGGTGCAGTGTGGGACACTGTTGGAGCTTGGGGGATTATGGAGTCTCCGGGGGGGGCACTATGGAGGCTCTGGGGGTGCGGAGATACTGTGGGCAACTATGGGAGGTTGGGGAGCACTATAGTAGCTGGGAGGCACTGTGGGGAGTTAAAGGAATCTGCAGCTGGCTAGAGGCCAGGGAAAGGGAGACCATGGTACCCAGTGGGCTACGGCCTGATAGTTGAGAACCACCGATCTAGGCCATTCATCTCTATATAAGTCTTTGATCTCAACATATGGTAATGAGGGATTCAGTGAGCCTAACCAACACAGCAGCTGATTGCACTAAAAAGGAAAAACCATAAACCTTCAAAACAGACAAAAGATAGATAGTGCAGCGCTTGATGTTATATGACTCTGCACCAGTATTAAAGATGGTGCAAAATATCCCTTACTTAAATGTCAACTAATGTGGACTACATTGTTATGTGACCACATACACTTATATGTGACCTTCCAAAGAATTGAAAAAAGGGGGATATAATGACGTGAACTCCACACGACTTCACAATAAAAAACGCACAATATAAATGCACAATTTGATCTCAACATGCTCCCTATTGTTAGTCCTTTGTTTAAGACTTTAGCATTAGTAATGTCTAAATGCTGGTCTAATCATGAGACAGTGGGGTTAATTTACTAAAATTAAGAATGCAAAATCTGGTGCAGTTGTGTATAGTAGCAAATCAGCTTCTAACTTCAGCTTGTTCAATTAAGCTTTGACAAAAAAAAAAAAACTGGAAGCTGATTGATTTATGTGCAGAGCTGCACCAGATTTTGCACTCTCCAGTTTTAGTAAATCAACCCCTCTGTTTTTTTTATTACAAGGATTTTTTTGCTCACCCTTTATCCACAATTTTCTGTAAGGGTGTGGGAAGTATATAAAATAGAATCTGCAATAGCACTGCTTTATATATATGTTTCATGTCTGGATTCTGTTATGTTTTTTTTTTTTGTTGTTGTTTTATAGATTCATTTAAAGTGACCCTGTCTCTACGGGGTAATTTCTAAAATCCAACCTGTAAAAGAAGAGGTGATATACTTACTTTTAAAACAAAAAGTAAAGTCATACGAGCTAGCAGAAGGAGCAGATATTGGACACACACTGACGTGTTGAATACCTGAAGCGGCTGGAGAGCAACCCCCCTGGCCACTGGAAAGATAATTATATCATCTCTTCTTCTACAGGCAGGGCTTTATGTACAGGTAACCTTGTGGTGACAAGGTCACTTTAATAAGACATTGCATACTTGACATGAAAAGGGAAAAGTATGGCGGATGTCTAGAAGCATTGTAATGTCAGTTCTGAATGCTTTCCTATGATACATCCTAAGCTGAACATAGTGTACAACTATTCTTTCCTTTCCTAAATGTGCCTTTTATACAATTTGTTTATGATTTTTTAATATTCAGCATTTTATTGAAAAAGTATCTTTGGATAATGTAACATTTCCATTGAATTTTTTGCAGCTTCAAGTCCAGGATGGCATGTGGTTCGTCATTTCTCTGTTAGTCCTGGTGTGACTATTAAATACGAGGAACTGAAGGACCTGCTGAAGAATGATGGTGTTGTTCATATTGACGTTCGGGAACCCTGGGAAGTTAAAGAATATGGCTGTATTGAGGGAACAATAAATATTCCATGTAAGTAATATGAAAATTAAAGTAGAACTATAGGTTTTTTTTTTTTTTTTTTTTTCATTTTGGATAGAGTAAGGGAGAGTTATAACCCCTATCCCCATTAGATTTCCCCTTATATTACTTTTCTGGAGACAACCCAAAATTTGGGATTTTCTATATTTTTTCACTATCGGTGATAACGATAAACAGGACAAATAGAGAGAGTGAATCTCCATAACGGGGTACAGACAGCAGTAAAAAACTTAATAGGTGTTCTAATCCATCTCCACTCTATACAAAACTAAACAAAGTTTTGTCTTTAGTTACACTTTAAATAGATGAGGTCTACTTCCCCTATGTTGAACCTGAGTAAATGGCTGTAATAATATTTTCAGTATAACTCAATTTCAGAATTGCTTTTTTTGCTCCGCTCCTAAATCGGATTTGCAGGAGCCTAGTAAGTAATCAATTGATTTGGATAATGAGTCACTATGGATATTTTAAAAAGGGATGAAACCTGGGCACTTTGCAATACCTGGACTTCAGACCCACTATGTGCTTTAATAGTGGGGCTTGGTGAGTGAAGTTGTAAATAAATTCATAGCTCCCACCATTATTCAGGCAATTTTTTTTCCTGCAACAAAATGGCTCCAAGAGTACTTGGAGTGGTTTTCTATATTGGGCAGGAAGTCCAGACCTAATAAAATTAGAGTTCTAAGGCAGTGGGCATTAGTGGCTTATGTATGAAGTGTGCTGAAAATTTCCTGTTACCCATAGCAACTCATTGGCTTCCGACTGTCATTTTTGCACTGTAAAACAAAGTAATCTATTTGCTACAATAAGAAATATTTTTGTTAGCTAACTTTTCATGTACAACGTAATTCCAAAAAAGTTGAGACACTGTGTAAAATCTACATAAAACAGAATGCAATGATTTGCAAATCTCATAAAGCCATATTTTATTCACAATATAAAATAGAAAACATATCAAATGTTTAAACTGAGAAATATACTATTTTAAGGTAAAAATAAGGTTATTTTGAAATTGATGGCACCAACACGTTAAAGTTGGGATAGGGCAACAAAAAGCTGGCAAAGTAAATGGTACTAACAAGAACGAGCTGGAAGAATGTCTTGTAACTGATTAGGTCAAGTGGCAACAGGTCAGTAACATGATTGGGTATAAATAGAGCATCTTAGAGAGTGAGAGTCTCATAAATAAAGATGGGCTGTGAAAGGTTGAGTCTCAAAATTGTTGAACATTTTCAAAATAATGTTCCTCAATGTAAAATTGCAAAGACTTTAAATATATCATCATCTACAGCATGTAATATCAAAAAATTCTGAAGCATCTGAAGAAATCTCTGTGCACAAGGGACAAAGCTGAAACGCAACATTGGATTCCTGTGGTCTTCAGACCATCAGACAGCACTGCATTAAAAACGGCATGATTTTGTGATAGACATCATGCTGCATGGGCTTGAGAATTTACTTCCAAAAAACGCTGTCAAAATTTGACATGTGAACACCTAGCTCACCTTGCCATCCAAAAGTGCAATGGAAAGCTCTATCATGCAAAGTATAAAGGCATATCTGAACATGATTCAGAAACGCCACCGTATTTTAGATACTCTGGACCAAAGCTATTTTCTCAAAATGGTCTATTCACATTATATTATTTTTGTGAATGTAAGCTACAGAAAGCTGTCAGTCTGCTGACATACAACAGGATATGCTCAAAGATTATGCTAGGGCTACTACAAGAGATGATCAGAGACTGCAGTAAAGCTACAGGAGATAGACTGTGAACATGCTAAAGGAGTTCATGGAGACTGGGAATATGCTTCAGGAGACACATTACATGAGACTGCTAGAGATAACTGCTATTATAGCCCCTTTACATGTCAGTGTTTGCACATTTTTGGTCCCTACAACCCTCTTGAAAATTCAGTATTGCAAGCATTTACCACTCAGCAATCTCCATTTAAAATATCAGAGGGGAAAAAACACAAAAACATAGTGGGGAAAAAAATCAGACTTAAAGAAGAAGTATGAGATAGCAAAAAACAAACATACATTTTCACCTGTATGGCTGCAGCATTGGTCCAATGCTGCAGCTGTCTTTGCCAGCTCCAAGACAGAGAACTGAGCAATCACATGACTGCTGATCGCTCTGTTCTCAGTTTTCACTGAGCAGGGAGCTGTGACTGCCTGACTGAGCAGTGGGCGGGCGCACCTAGCTCAGACTCTCAGCGACACGCTGAGAGGCTGAGCCAGCTACCAGCCAGGCATCCAAATGGATCCCAGCTCTAGAGTCGAGATCCCTGCAGAGCCCAGACCGGCTCTGTGGCTTCAGCTGACAGCGGCTTTTATCCCACTGTTGGCTGAATCTGGGTCACTGGAGTGCAGAAATAAGTGCACTTCTGTGACTTTTTTTTATCACTGGCCCAAGTAAGCTGAACAAAAAACAAAGATTTATACAAGGGTTGCTCAATAAATGCCAAAAGGGTGCAGGTTGGTTATCAAGTTTCTAAGCCTTCCCTACTCTACCCAAAACCAATAAAAAGAGGTTTTGTTTGAATTTCTACTTTAAATGCTATATTCTAAGTTGCTAATGCAGTCTTTTGTGTATTGCATAACTCAGGTATGTTATGTTACCATTCATAAATTTTTATGTGTGTACATTTTCAATGTCTTAGAAGACTATTTGTTTATTTCTACAAGTGTTTTTAATTTTCTTGTATTTTGGTATTTAGTGGGTGATCTGCCAGCTGCACTACAACTGACCCCCCAGGAATTTGAAGCAAAATATCATAAAAAGCTTCCAGAAAAATCCAACACTCTAGTGTTCTCTTGCCTGGCAGGGATTCGAAGTGGTAAAGCTTTAGAAGTAGCAACATCACTGGGATACAATCAGTAAGTAGATCAAGGGTCTGGTTTTTTTTTTTTTTTTTTTTTTTGTTTTTTTGTTTTTTAGTTTTTTTTGTTTTTTATTCAAATTGGAACTCTAGACTCCATTATCTGAAAATTATAGTGAAGTTGTGCCCATACCACACTGTCTGCATCCAGGGTAGGTCAGAGGCACTATTTCCATGATAAGCAGATTATGTGCAAACAGCAGCTCCAGCTGTTGGTTTGCACAGAGTAGAGCTCTACAAATATGATGCAACCATGTGATTGTAGCCTAAATGTAGCCTAAACTTTCAAAGTTTACAACACAGCCACTGTTCTAGAGAGAGCAGATCTTGACAGGCTGCCAGCCCTCCAATATAAACAACATGCAGGTTTTTCTAACCTGTTAGACACCGACTGAAATATGTCTTTTAGAATCTTTGTTGTAATCATTGAGAATTAATAACTCCATATTTTGGGCTCATTCACACAGGCGTTCAGCCATGTATAGCGTGAAGAGCCGTGTGTTTTGCTTTTGTACTAGCAGTGAGCTGCATGTAGGCAGCCCATATTGAGTAATAGTAGCGCATTGGCTGTACAGACTCATCTGCACAGCTGAGTTTCACGGGTATGCAAGGACAAGAGCACGGACTTGGATGCCCAGGCTCTATGTTGGGGACTGTGCACTGTCCCTCTGTACCTGTCAAACCCAGCTGTGTGGGTGAGTCCGTACAACCTGTTTTCTGTGATGGTTGCCAATCTCATGTAGACTGTGCCTGCTAGCACTAAATTGGGATGAAAGCATTTTGCGGGGGACGTGGCTCTTGTCACTGCTTGTGTTGTTGACTACCTCACACTGTGAGCTGCAGTATCTGGGAAGGGGAACATGTGAGACACAAGTGAAGGAACATGTAGCTCAGGCAAGAAAAAGTAAAGCTAGCCAGATATGGATTTTTTTTTTTTTTTTTTTCAATTCTTTTGATTAGCCAGCAGGCTGAGTAAAAACTAACAAAACAAAAAACCCAAACAGATTCTCACATAACAATAGATAGAGGAATCCTCCCCGCTGCGTTATTGTATTCTGACAGTGGGGCCCACCCAGTCGTTGGCATATATTGGTCATCCTGCAGCTGTTTGGCTTCAGTTCTGATCGAAGAAACATTTTTCAACATTCCAATTCGAGAGCAGCCAATTATTAGATTAATGTCCTCCCTTTTTTTTAATTTTTTTTTTTCTATCCATCTATTTATTTATGAGGCCTGTATGTCCCTTAGTAACTAGATTTGGGACTTATTTAGACTGTCATACAGTAGCCTTTAGGTGTACTTAAAGGTTCACCTTTTGCAAAAAAAATCTAGTAAATGCAGCAACTCTGATCTCACGATTAATGTGCATTGACCTTTTTTTTTTTCTTTCAATGAAGTTGTCTGTAGAGCTTTGCACCTGCAATCGGTGTATCTTGGGTGCAATGCACACACTCTTGCTTTTTTTTTTTTTTTTTTTTTGCTCTGGGCTCAGGGCCAATCAGAGGTACAGCCCTGGGCTGAAGGAAGTGTAGATGGACTACTCGGGGGTGAGGGAGGAGAGAAGCACTGGCAAAACTTTGCACAGTCCCCCTTGCCATGTAGTAACATGTAGTAATTCCCTGGGAGCAAAATCATTGAATGGCTGATGCAGCTGTGTGGGTGGAGCCGCGCACAGTTGTGCTGAATGAAAAAAATGGCCAGTTTCTGCAATAAGAAGCACCCCACAAATTCATGTAAGAGGGGTGATGGTTTGGGGGATTATGTATGCAATTATGTTTAATGTTACACCCTAAATATAGGTGTAACAAGAAGCATAGTCTAAACCTGGACTTGACCTTTAACACAAGTTTCAATTTTAATTGTGTTTCAGATATGTATTTTTTTAGATAATACATTTTTAGTAAGTAAATAATATGGGAAACTTTGTGCAAACTCTAAACTTTATGTAATGAGTACTTTTTACACTAATATGTAATGTCTCTTCTCCTTAGGATCCATCATTATTTGGGAGGATTTAATGACTGGACTAGGCATGAAGTGCCAGAAAAATCACAATGAGCCACAGCTAATTTATAGTATTCATTCAAAGATCTACCTGAGATATATTTTACTTATTGTTAATGTCACAAAGGGCATAGTGCATTATAGCATAATTTTACCATAGACAGAATATGAATGTACCCCTTAAGTACTGGTCCCTTTTTAACACTGGGTTGTGACTCAGAATGACCAAAGAACTATATTACATTATTGATGGTTTATTATGTTATGCATTCTTTTGTATATATGATCTTGTTCTTAATGAATGCTTGATTCGTCAGGGATGAGCAAATGTGCCTGGGTGTAATTCATTCCTGCTTGAAATCAGCAAAAGTCAAAGTAAATGTGGGGTAATTTTCAAGGCTAATAGGCAAGATATTGTCAAATAAAAGCATGGGAAGCTTGGCATTGACACTGGGGACATTTAAATAAGCAAAAAAAAAAGGTTACAAATACAGAACAGGTGAGAGTTATTTTTGGTTTTATTTTATTTTGTCTTTGAGGGCAACATGGGATAAGCATAAATACTTTAACTTACATGCTTGGGAGATGCCTTTTAAGCTGTATGTTGTGTTACAAAGCAGTATGATTTTCACAGACTGCATCAGAGACACCGTCTTATAGCAACATATATTTTGGATGTGTAATAGACTTTTCTATGTAGCTTGGCTTAACCAATGTATGTGATAAATCAGTGGCAGCGCAGAGTTTTAAACGCACTCCACAAGTTGACTGTGACCCTCTGTAGTGTATCCCCCTATGTACCCCCCCCCCCCCCCCCATGTTTTTCAGGCCTTGCTATCCCCCCGGTAGAGCTGGGACACACGATGCTGACCTCCCTTGGCTGTAAAGAATCCAGAAGCGATATGTACAATGTCGTTTCCGGTTTCTGTTGTCACATTACCTGGCCACTGTGGCCCAGGAAGAAGCTAATGGAGGCCAAACAGCACTCTTATTAGGTCGAAAGCATTTAAGACACCAGGAGTCTAAAAAACCCATTATAGAGTTACAAAGAGTTTACATCAAATAGGGGACTTTCTGTCTCATATGTGCTACTAAAGGTTATTGAAAAAAAATTAAAATAACATCCAACCACTTAACCCCCCCGCAAAAAATAAAAAATTTGAGCCTACACCTGTCTCCACATATGCGCACACACGAATGTAAAGACAATCTGTCTGAGGCACCTTTGTGAAAATGTTGCTGGCACTACACATGTCGCATATTACCATACACACCAGCGTGAGAGCAATAATTCTATGCCTAATATTCACAATTACTCTCTAAAGGCTCTTTCATACAGGCAGTAATGCTTACCATCCTCAGAAATGAGATGTGCGGTGCTGCGTGTCAAATTCTGCATCCCGAGTTAAAGCCACGGCCAAAAAGCAAAGCCTTGCAGCTGTGGCATGTGTACATGCCTGACGGCCTGTAAAGTTAAAATTCCGGTGGGTGGTGGGATCTGTAAAATCACAGCTCATCCACTTGATTTTAACAACCTCCTTACCCACAAGGACCCTAAAGTGATGACTTGTAGGGGCTTTTCAAGCATCGCATATAAAAAAAATATTGGGGTCATCAGTTTGTGGGCATATACAATTTTAAAGCTTGATGTGTTGACAATCTATGTAATTGACACATCTCCTCTTTTATAAGATTGGGTAATATATCGTGTGCCCTAAAATTAACTTTTGTGTATTATTTGTGAAAATTTGTGTTTGATACCACAATTTTAGACTCCAGGGTTTCAGCTTTCAGAAAATATGAGTATATAATGTTTTGGGGTTTTACTTAATCTTCAGGCCTAAAATTATTTTTTAAAAGATGTGCAGGAAAAAAAAAAGCAAACATGTCCCCAGCAGTGAAAGGGTTAAATACAGCAGTCATACCCCAATCTAATTTTAAAGTGAAAATAATTTTTTTTTTGTAGTTTTGGCTGTTACACCTGCGTTTTTGGGGTTTTTTTTTATCAAATAGTAATAGGAATAAATTGATCGGTGGTAGCAGTAGCCACAACCGATCTAAAAGCTATAGGAAAATGTACTCTTTAAAAAAACAAAGCTAAATCTGTCAACTTCATACAAATTAGCCCATGGCAGACCAGTTTGATAGTATGGTTTCAGAGTTTCTTTTTGCATTAGAACACTTCAAAACCACAACCTCACATTACACAGCCCCCCCCCCCCCCCCCCCCCCCCCAAATATCCAGTTATTCTGAAAATGTGGACTGGTGTTTGGTGGAAATATATAGTCAAAGCACTGGAGCTAGGGAAAAGGGCAGACTGCAACAAAAAGTAAGTGTAAAAGTCTACACTCTTAGACTGCCTACCCTTTCCCAAATGGACCATCCAAGAAAAAGACAGACAATCCTTAAAGGAGAGAAGGGTGCTGCCACATGGAGCTAGTAGGTGGCAAACCTTGATAAGTGCCCTCTTCCCTCTCTTTCCTCTATTCCTGTGCGCCTTCGACCTTCACTCCTTCTGCTCCTCCCCTTCCTTCTCCACCTCCTTCTATGTAATTATGACACTGGTGAACTAGGGTTATATGGGGAACATATGCCCACTGATTTATACATGGTAAAGAACTGGTGAAAAACAGCCCCTTTGCTCCAGTTCTTGGTTTTGTATTAACGTACTACATTTCTTCCTGTCATCACTTTTTTTTTTGTAATTCCATTTTTGCTTGTTTTGTTTGATTTACTTTTTTCATACTTTAACCGCAAGGCTGTCCCTGTCCTAGTCAAGCAAACAAGAACAGGGATGGTAATGCAGATTGGGTAAAAATAATGGCATCTGGCAAGGGGGAACCAATTAGGCCTTATAGGGTTGCCACATTTGGTGGGAGTCTCATCTCAATCCATCTCGGTCCTTGTTGGCCATTTCCTTTTGAGTCTTTCTCCAGGGCTGAGAGGGAAAGGGCAGGCAGCAGCAAGAATTAATCATACAATCCCATGGTCATTTGCTGCCCATCCTTCCCTACAAAGCCTTAAAACTCAAAGCAGCATTTGCCATTAGCCACCTCACCATCACAGTAACAACCTTACTTTTTTTTTTTTTTTAAGAAAATTTATTGGGTTTTTAAGTCATACATTGTGTCGACCAAACAATTGAGATATAGAAGAAACACATATCACAAATCACAACCTTACTCTTTAATGACTGGCATAGTACCACTGGATTGGCGTAAGGCCAATGTGGTGCCAATATTTAAAAAGGGGTCAAAATCTTTACCAATTATTTTTATAGACCTGTTCATTTAACTTCTGTAGTTGGGAAGATACTGAAGATTTTAAGAAAAAACCACATCGATGAGTTCTTGCTGGAAAAAAATATTTTAAGTAACAGACAGCATGGATTCATGAAAGACAGAAGTTGTCAAACTACTCCGATTTCTTTTTATAAGGAGGTGAGCAAAACCTTGGACAGGTAAGGTAAAGTCTACAGGCTTGGAAAAATCTTATTGTAAATGGATAGAAACCTGGCTATAAGATCGTCTTCAAAGAGTAGTGGTTAATGATTCATACTCTGAATGGTCTAAGGTTGTCAGTGGTGTACTCCAAGGTTCAGTATTGGGACCCTTAGTTTTTTTTACCATTTCAGGCTTTGCAGATGACACCAAGCTGTGCAGTGGAATAATGTCCTTACAGGCTGTCTTCAATTTACAAGCTGACCTCAATGCAATGTTTAATTGGGCAACTATGTGGCAAATGAGGTTTAATGTTGATAAATGTAATATTATGTACTTGGGGGGCTAAGAATATGCATGCATCATACCCACTAGGGGAAGTACAACTGGGGGAATCAATGGTGGAGCAGGATCTGGGAGTTCTGGTAGATCGCAGGCTTAATAATGGCATGCAATGTCAAGCTGTGGTTTCTAAAGTGAGGAAAATCCTCTCTTGTATTAAAAGAGGTATAGACTCCAGAGAGAGATATAATTTTTTACCCCCCTGTACAAATCATTAGTAAGACCTAATCTAGAATATGCAGTTCAATTTTGGGCGCCAATTCACAAAAAGAACATTGGGGAACTGGAGAGAGTACAGAGAAGGGCAACGAAACTGATAAGAGGCATGGAGGAGCTCAGCTATGAGGAAAGATTAGAGGAACTAAATTTATTCTCTCTTGAGAAGAGAAGACTAAGGGGATATGATCAACGTGTATAAATACATCATTGGTTCATATAGTAAACTCGGTGTAGAGCTATTCACCCTGAGGTCATCACAGAGGACAAGGGGGAACTCTTTATGTCTGAAGGAAAAGAAATTTAATCTCCAACCAGGTAAAGGTTTCTTCACAGTGAGAGCTGTGAAAATGTGGAATAGACTCCCTCAAGAGTTTGTTTCTGGTGAGCTCAGTGGATTGCTTTAAAAAAGGCCTGGATTCTTTCTTAGATACACAAAATATAACTGGATACTAACATTTATAGGTAAAGTTGATCAGTGGAATATCCGATTGCCTCTCGGGGAATCAGGAAGGATTTTTTTCCCCCTGCAGGAGCAAACTGGATCATGCTTGGCTGGGGTTTTTTTTTTTGCCTTTCTCTAGATCAACTGTGGGTATAGGATTGTAACTTTTTTTTTTTTGTGTGTTAATGGTTGAATTGGATGGACTATTGTCTTTTTTTTCAGCCGGACTATGTAACTTTACAAACAATACCCCATAATGACAACGTGAAGGAAGTTTGTTTTGAAATCTTTGCAATTTATTAAAAAATGGGGAAAAAAACACATACATACAGTAAGTATTCACAGCCTTTGCCATGACACTCAAAATTGAGCTCTGGTATATCTTGTTCCCACTGATCACCCTTGAGATGTTTCCACAACTTGATTGGAGCTCCACCTATGGGAAATTTAGTTGATTGAACATGATTAGGAAAGGCATAAACTTGTCTATATAAGCTCCTACAGTTAACAGTGCATGTCAGAGCACAAACCAAACCATGAAGTCCAAGGAATTGTCCGTAGGCCTTTCGAGACAGGATTGTATCAAGGCACAGATCTGGGGAAGGGTACA